TTAAAACAATAAGTAAATACCACAACGTGAACAATACTGCTGTTTTTTGTCCTGAGGTATGATTCGAACTCGGTACCCTTTTGGCACGAAGCCACCACTCTACCAATTACGCCAGCACAGGCCACATTAACTCTGCTTTTTTCAGGCTTATGACTTGTTAGTTCGTTATATCTAAATAATAACTTTATGTTATTCAACAATAAGTAAATACCACAACGTGAACAACACTGCTGTTTTTTGTCCTGAGGTATGATTCGAACTCGGTACCCTTTTGGTACGAAGCCATCACTCTACCAATTACGCCAGCACAGGCCACGTAAACTCTGCTTTTTTTGGCCTTATGACTTGATAGTTTGTTATATCTAAATATTAACATTATGTTATTCAACAATAAGTAAATACCACAACGTGGAGAGCACTGCTGTTTTTTGTCCTGAGGTATGATTCGAACTCGGTACCCTTTTGGTACGAAGCCATCACTCTACCAATCACGCCAGCACAGGCCACATCAACTCCGCTTTTTTTCGGCCTTATGACTTGTTCGTTTGTTATATCTAAATATTAAATTTATGTCATTCAACAATAAGTAAATACCACAACGTGAACAACACTGCTGTTTTTTGTCCTGAGGTATGATTCGAACTCGGTACCCTTTTGGTACAAAGCCATCACTCTACCAATTACGCCAGCACAGGCCACATCAACCCCGCTTTTTTTCGGCCTTATGACTTGTTAGTTTGTTATATCTAAATATTGAATTTATGTTATTCAACAATAAGTAAACACCACAACGTGAACAACACTGCTGTTCTTTGTCCTGAGGTATGATTCGAACTCGGTACCCTTTTGGTACGAAGGCACCACTCTACCAATTACGCCAGAGCAGGCCACATCGGCTCCGCTTTTTTTCGGTCTTTTGACTTGTTAGTTTGTTATATCTAAATATTAAATTTAGGTTATTCAACAATAGGTAAATACCACAACGTGAACAACACTGCTGTTTTTTGTCCTGAGGTATGATTCCAACTCGGTACACTTTTGGTACGAAGCCATCACTCTACCAATTACGCCAGCGCAGGCCACATGAACTCTGCTTTTTTCGGCCTTATGACTTGTTCGTTTGTTATATCTAAATATTAACTTCAACAATAAGTAAATACCACAACGTGTACAACACTGCTGTTTTTTGTCCTGAGGTGTTAAGGCGCGAAGCTTAAAAATTACTTCGACGTCTAACTGGGTGTTGTCGTTCTACTTTTCCTAACCTACCTTTTGAACTATTGGTGTGATCGGTGATTATTTAAGTAAAAGGCGACGTTTGATATAATATGTTTATTATAAAAAAAATATGTTGAATATAATGGCATCAGATAGTTGGTGTTTCTAAACTGATTTCATGTGCATATGATTTTGTTATCTTGGTTTAACCCATGATAAAAAAAAATTTTTGTGAATATGAAGTAATAGTAAAAACATTTAAACTCAAATTAATTAAAAAACTGACTTGATTTGACTTTTTTTTATATTCCTAACACAATCTTTTTATAATGATGTATATAAAGACTTTAATTTTAAATATAAAATTTTATTATGTTATTAAAAATCAATTTTGTACAGCTTAATTATATAAATTAAATTAGTGGTTCAGTCTTATAGCCACTTTAAATTTACCTAATAATACATGCATACTGTTCGTACATTCTTGATATGATAATAATTATTCGTATATAATAAAACTTTTAAAACAAAGCCTCTAAATTAAAATATTTTTTTATATATATTAAATTTAAATATCTTGATATTCATCAGCACAATGAGTTTCTACGTGACCTGAAGAAAAAAATAAAACATATTAAGGATAAATAGTATATAGTATATGTACTTGCATATCATAAACTTGAATAAATTTAGAACATTTAAAAAAATTAAATGATTATATTTATAGGAGGTAAAAATTCATGCAACTATGTAATATTAACAATCTAAATAATAATGTTTTACATCAAGACAAGTAATGTAATAAAAAATCGCTATTTTCTATGATTCCATGCCATATCAATAGGTATCAAACCCAAAATAAATGAACAAACTATTTTAGACCAACTATAAGTTCTATTTTAGTCCAGTCATTATAGTAAGTTCACCTCGGAATTCGAGATACCCAGCTGTAAGTCTGCAAATACTTGTATTTTGACACTAACAAATTGTCTCAAAACCTACATATGATAGCGTGTATCTACGATATGTAGGTTTTGAGACAACTTTTTAGTGTCAATATTCAAGTATTTACAGAATTACAGCTGGGTATCTCGAATTTCAAGATTCTTACCTAATTTAAGCTTAAATGACTGAACTATTTGAAATATTTCAAACTCTAAAGTCCTGACATTTTCATGGTTTACACTGTTTTTGTAAACTTTAATACAATTGAACTTAATCATATAATAAACAATTATTTATATATTAATATTTACAACTAATGCTATAGACAAAATCGAGTTTCATACCAGCATTCAATATATTATAAATTCTTAAAAATTTTTTTGTAAAAACTAAAATATAGATGTAAAACTAACCCCGATGAATGTTATATCTATCTCATGATGTTATGAAGGTGAATATGCATTTGAATCGCCACTAGTTGAACTTTCACTAAGTTCCATTCGGCCATCTGGAAGGAATCCAGTTGTGAGAAATAAATATATCTCAATTTGTACAACGGAATTTAAAATTTTAAATGTACATATTTAGTACGTGTAGCTTCGATTATATTTAGTGGTAACCTAGTATAATATACATATTGCCGATATGTATATATTATACATAGTCCCGATTTGGCCGGGACAGTCCAGAAATTCCACCTTGTGCCCCGAGTTTTTCTAAGAGCAATATTCGTCGCGGTTTTTGCTCTTATTTGATAATAAAATTTTTAACTTTGATCAAATATCTGAAAATGTTACGTACAAATGGTATGCTTATATGAAACAAAATGATATGAATGAGAAAATTGCCGTATACAAAATTCCCAAAACGGGTCAAAATAGCTTCTCACATTAATAATTTCGAATTTTTATTTTCAATTTTTAAAAAAATCATGAAAATGAATTTTTCAAAATGAATGAAATTATGAAAAAAATTAAACAAAATTTTATAAAAAAATTAAAAGCCAAAGTTCTTAGTCAGTAATTTTGATTTAAAAAACATGATTTATTTAATCGCTATTTTATTCTAAGTTTTCTGATTATTTACAATTATTATGCAAAAACGTTAAGTTACAAATTAAAATTAATTTTTATGAAAAAATAAAAAGTAGATCTCCATGAATTTACAAAAAAAAAAATCAAGTCGAAAAATAAGAAAATCAAGATAATAATTAAAACTGGTACAATATAAATAAATAGCGATTTGAAACAAATCATAAGATAATTTATATCCAACATCGAAATGCGACAGGTACTCAAAAGTATGTTGCGCGGTTTAAATTGGTTTTGGATAACATCAATCAAATAAACCATAAAGGTATGTATAAAATGTAATTTCTAACGCTAATTTTAGATTTGTGCCATTTGTGTCCCTTTGGAGTTTTTATCGCGCAAACTAATTCTGGCATTTTGTAAGTGAGATGAAAAGAAATATAATGAAATGCACTGATGCTAAACTAAAAAAATGTAATGTGACATGCAAACGTCTTAATGTTAATTTGATGTGAGTAAATATGTACATATAATAAAATTTAGAGCTATATATTTCTAAATTACAAATCACAAGCTATTATTAGAAACATAGCTGGGCACCGTTAATCAAAAAGTTAACTTCGTTAATCGTTAATCCGCTACAAAAAATGTTAGCTTCGTTAAACGTTAAAGCGTTACATTTCGGAATAATTAACGCAAGTTAACGTTAATCGTTAATCCGTTAATATGTATAAAATTACATTTTTATATTGTTGCGTTAGTGAACTTAAAAAACTTATTGGTTTAGGTTCTGGAAGTTAACAGGTTATGAATAAAACAAAATACTTGTATAATTCAAATGTGTAATTCAACCCCTTAATGGCGCGACGCGCTTTATGCACACACCGTGATAATAACTCTATTGGTCAACTTTCTGTTTTTATGATTGCATATTGTTTTTACAAGAATTTTTTTCTAAATAAAGGGAAAGAATTTTTTTGCGAAAAATAGGAAACGCGCGACGGGTTAAGCGTCGGGCATAAGGTGCATATTCCCCTTCATGAACATTAACATGTTGAAGTTCTCGTCTGAAAGCGAGGCTCGTTTTGGTGTCAAAATGTCTTTACCCGTGGAAAACAAACGTTCAACTGCAGCGCTTGAGGGTATAGCAGTATTGTATTTAATAAATAGATTTATGAATATCTGTTATCCCAGACGAATGCAGCATCGTTGAACAAGTCTTTTGAACATGTTGGCACTGTTCATCATTCACGAGTGGTCCAAATCTTTTCTCTATGTCATTTAATAAGGCATTGGCTAAAGCTGTGCCGTGCGGTAAATAGTAATAATTGGCAGGGCCGTGCCTGGGTATATGGCCGCCTGCGTGCGAGCATATAAATGGCCGCCCTTAAAAATAGCATAATAGGAAAATATCCAATATGTTCTCACGAAAAAAATCGTCTTGTAATTTTCAAGTTTTCTCGACATTTTAAGTCATTCTGAATCGTTTGAAAGCCGATTTTTGAATTTTCGGCAAAGTTTTCTCAAAAACGGTTAAATCCAATTCAAAAGTTTAAAAGTCATTTAATGTAACTAGATAATGACTAGCGCCTGTCAGTTTTGTGCGACGATCGGCCAAGCTGTTTCTAATCAACAGAAAAATATAAAATATTGTACACGTTTTAGCCAAAAATTCTGCATCGATTTTAAAAATTCAGGAACTGTTTGAAAGATATCATTTAGGAATCGTGCTGATTAGTTCTAACAGATCGGTCGGTTCGTTTCTTCGTGTTTAATTGGTGAATATTGCTTTACGATGATATTTATAAAACTTTTTTGGCGATAGTGATCATGGTCTCTGAGATAACTAAATATTTCGACCCACATTAAGTCATTTTAATTTTTAAAATATATATATTACTATCAAAGATTGCAAAAATGAGCGGCGCTTTTTTACGTGAGTCAAAATTTCATCTTTAGTCGACATTTTCTCAAAAATGCACAATCCCATTTGAAAAATCGTCAAAATTCGTAAATTCGATAAGCACTCGTGCTGCTTAGTTTTGCCTTTAGAATTTTCAAAAAAGTCTCAAATTTTTAATTAGTGAATTGATTTTAAAAATTCAAAAACCATTACAAACGTTTTCCATTTGAGAATCTTGCTGATTAAATTTTGTCAATAATCGACGAGTCGTTTTTCAGTTATTGATTAACAAATTGCTTTGGAAATTTGGGTCTTGTTTTTAATTTACTACAGTTTGTTTCTTGTTCAATAATATGTAATTTTTAAACTATTTATAAAACATAACTAATTTTTAAAAAATTGTACAAAATTGAATAATCTGCGATAGTTTTTCACATTGCAATGTACTCATGAATTAATATATTTTCATCGTTAAGTCGATTATTAACACATGTTGGATACTTCATGCAACTTGATTTAGGCAAAGTTGCCACTTACACCAAGTTTATAACTTATAAATTATTTAGAAACAGAGTCGCATTCAATAGGGCCGCCTTTGGCTGATTTTTACTACGGTATTTTTGGTCTTTTAGATATATACAGCGGACTTTACGGCAGCGAATGAGTTCAGCGGACTTTGAGCTTGGCCGCCTCTTAATCCAACAGTCTTTTAATTTGGCCGCCTTTTAATTCAGTAGACTTTTAATGCAACAGCTATTTATTTCGACCATTTTTTGTTATGGCCGTCTTTGAATTTGTTCTTTTTTTCATTTGGCCGCCCCTCGGCCGTCTCAAAAGGCGGCCGCCTGCGTGCGGTGCACGCACTGCACGCTGGCCAGGCACGGTCCTGGGCATTGGATTAACGATTAACGGACTTCTGGCATTTTAACGGAAGTTAACGTGTCCGTTAACATTTTCAAAAGTTAACTTAAAAGTTAATCCGTTAATCAAAATGTTAACTTCGTTAATTAACGATTAACGGATTAACGAGTTAATGCCCAGCTATGATTAGAAACATGGTTAATAGCAATTCAAATTTGATATCAATTTTAATATACTGGCATGCTTCACGATTAAATGATAAATTTCAACAAAGATCATGTAGATCTTCAGTGAACTTTTTTAAACTTAAGAAGACTAATGATAGTTACTGTTAACCAATGCTTATTCTAAAATTTACACCTATTCCAGGAAATATGCAAGCAAAAACTTCACAGTGTTCTAAAATATTGAACATAATATTAATCAATGGATATATGAATTCTACAATACACTGTAATTTTACATATTGAACAACAGCTACTACAAAAGAACAATTATTTAAAAAAAAAATAATACAGCATGATCACTAACCTTCTACAGCCATTTCCGCTTTTGAGCGATCTCTTGTTATATAAACAGCAGTTAACAAGAAGAATAAACCGCCAAGAACTTCCACAAAACTGGTGGTGAAGAGAGCGTATTGCATTGAACGAAAATTTGGTCCATCCTAAAATAAATCATTCATGTAAAAATATGAAAGTACTATAGACCATGTAAAGTATATAAACATAAATGATGGAGTTCGAACATTTTCTTAAGGAATAATGCAACAAAACGAATCATTAAAAATAGTCTTACAGTAAGTATTCACTGCTATAATAAATATTGTGTGTAATAATCTTGAAAAAGATTAGTTCATAAATAATGTTCGGCTGCTATACTAACTATATCCTTCATTTGATTAGACACAAACTTTGAAAAAGCAAAAATAATGAAGTACAATTGAAGATTAGAATTTAAAATTAATTTCATATCGATACTGATTGATATCAAGTTCAAAATTATGCAATTATAGATATATAAATTATAAATTAACAGTTTTGTCTTAAAGTTACCCTATTATGAATTAAATTATATTAACATGAGTATGTATAAAACATGAATGTAGGACTTTATCAAATACATTACATATTCATAAAAATCTTATAAAAGCAATATATAATGATTAATTAATAACAATTTTAATGATCTATTACTTACCAAACTATAATCAGATGAATTATAATTACTATATTTTTCTACCAATGAAATTTTATCAATGCTTGATTCACTTTGTGTATTTAGTAATAACGCTGATGCAGTAACAGCTACACCCGATGGACTAAGCAAAGGTTTTAACGCCTCAGAAATCTGTAAATAATAAATATTTACAATAATAAATATAAGGTAAGCCTTTTATAATAACAATAGCATTGTACTAACAATCTCAAGTGTTTTTTGAGAAACTTTCATGCGCTATGACAGGTATATCACACAAAATGACATCTTTGAAAATAATATTACATTAAGTACTACAGTATATGTGATGATAACTATCAAATCATTTTAGGAAGATTTTTTACTATAGCTTTATATAGCTATATATACATATATATTTTGTAGAGCTTTGAACAAAAAATCCAAAAATGAAAAAACAAAAAAGTTTTTTAAAAAAACATTTATTTATTTACTGTCGATGTTTCAAAGATGGAACATACCTAGTTCCGAAAGGTTGATATATATATATATATATATATATAGCAAAGTCGCACTGAATCAGATCTATTAAGATAAACCTATTCAAATTAAACAAACATTGACTAATACTTTACTTACATATATTTAATTGTATTTTTATAATAACCTTTAGTCAATTTACTGCTACTTGTAAATTTTAATTTTGTAAAAAAAAAATCCTCCATTACTTCATAATTAAAAAAAAGAAAGAAAATTAACTAGTTTAAACACTTGCATGGTTTGAAATTTCAGTTCTAAAAATAGTTCCAGTTTTACCTTCACATATTTAAGACATGAGACTAGAAAATAATTATACTTACAACACCAATCAAGTATGGGCTTCCTGCATCTCCAAATGTATGCGATATTAAAATTGGAATGCTTCCGCTGTAGATCTACGAGTTGGAATGACCACATACTGCAAAAAGCAATTGCATTAAATCAACATTTTCTTAAAAACTAAACACTTATTTATCTTGAATTGTCATAATAATATCATTGTAATTAGAATTATGAATTTAAAGCAAAATTAGTTATATCGATGAAATTACAATATATATATTATATATATATATATATATATAATTAAATCAATTGAAAACACAAAATATCACAGCTATTTTGAAGATTTAAAGCTGAATAATAAACAAAAATCATATAAATATGAAAGCAAAATTTTGAGGTTAGGTTCTAAAAAAAAATTTAGCAGGTCGCACTTCAATGTATAATGTCTTTATCTTATGATAAAAGCTACTTTAACATTATAATTTGAAGTGGGCAACCAGCTTGTTTTTAACAAAGAGCAATAATCAATATAATCACAGAACTACTTTTACAAACATCTGTGAATTAATATAGAATCGAAAGTGGCATACATAAAAAATCATTAGCCATATTATTCATAAATGGCATTCTTACCAATAATATATCAGCTACTATTGCCCAATTCAAATTTAATGCAAGTTCACCAAAAAACATTAGAATAAAGGCAACTGTTGAATTCAACTGAACAACCAGCATTCCAGCGGCTAATAAAGGTGTGCTAATTAATAAACCAGCAGCACACAGCAAAGGGTCTGCTCTAGGATAAGTTTTCTTTAAACTCTGACTAAGATATGAGCCAAGAGGAACACCCACAAGACCAGAAATCATAGTTAGAAGACCAAATACAAAAGCGACCCTGAAATTATTACAAAAAACATTTTGCTAACATATTTTATGACAATATTTTTTTCATACAAAAATAAACGCTTTACTTCTTTCTAAACATCAGGGACTCTGCTATGAATTGGCTTTTACAAATAGCTTAATTATGATAATTACATTTAAGCAAACAAAATTTGTAACAAATATTTCAATTGGCATTGCTATTTGCATCAAGTTAGTTAAATAATTTCATTTAATAGAATTTAATTATAAAGTCAAAGAGTATCTCAAAAATTTAAAATCTTCAGTTAATTGTTTACAATTCATAAACTATTGAATGTAGTTGAAAACTACTATGTATTATGTAAGAATATTATTGATATCAAATATGATGATCAGTCATAGAAATGTGATTCATGCACATTCATTAAATCATTTTACTATTAAAATAATGACATACCTTTTACAGCAGCATTATAAATAATAAATAATAAATTCTTCAAAAAATGTATATATCGAGAAATACTTGATAATAAATAATATATTTTTTTTTTGAATAAATACGAATTTGTAATATAATATTTGTATGTAGTAAGTATTTTTTATTGTCTTGTAAAGTATTATAATGTTTATTGTAGCATAATAATTGAAAGATAAACGGGTTGCTTTTAATTAGAAGCAGCAAGAATATACCATTATAATTATTTAAAAGGTTTATCATTTATCCAACAACTGAGTAATTATTTTAAGAATATATCAATGCTAAAGCTTTACCAGTAGTTCACCAACCTGATCCTCAGACATATCTTAAAAAATAAAGTAAATTTTATTCTGAAAAATAATATTGAAAATATTTTGCTTAGATGTATAAATCATAAATAAGCAGTTTTGTAAAACCAATTATTGTTACCTGAAAACTATAAATATAAAACAAAACGAAATAAAACATATACATTTTGCCTGAAATCAAATGTGGAAAAGAAGATGGAGAGGATTAAGCCTAATTTACATAGACAATTTTATGCATAGTTTAAGATTTTAAATCTGTAAAACAAAATATAGGCTGAGAGATAGTGAATCTTTTAAATAGCAATGTTCCTGTCTTTACAGCAAAGTAAAGCTTTTGTACTGGTGATTCTTAGTGAGCTAAGTATAAAAATGATGGTCGAGCAAGTTTCAGCAAAGTGATGGAAAATGTAAAAAAAAAACAAAAATTCAACATGTTTCTGTAAGTTTCAAACTATGATATGATTTAATTAGAATCAAATTGCCAAACCATTTCAACATGCCAGATGAGCCGAAAGGTTCACTTTTATGAGCAAAATGATTATGAATTAAAATAAACATTGCCTTTACAGTTAATAAATAAATGTTGAATAAATGTGAAATGCCAGGCAATTCTGTCCAGCCTAAGCCCACACCAGGCGAGGCTAAAGATGCTATGACGAGAGCTAAGTGATTCTTAGCATAAGCTAAGAATCACCAGTATAAATATTTTTAGCCTTACAAAAACAACGTTATTCAACAGCTACACTAGCTCTTAGTCCAATATTATGAGTACTAAAATTGTACATTATAAATAGTGATTGGCTTAACAGAGTGATATTTTTTACCAGAACCTTAATTCACTGCATCGGGTAGTATACTTATAAAGCCTTGAAGTCTAAAATTAAGTACATCATCAATGTAAACTAGGCTCGAAGTCATTTTGGGGCAGGGAGTCTTACCAAAAGCATATCCGCAACAAGTGGCCAATTCATGTTCATGGACACCTGTCCAAAGAACATGAGGGCGAAACACAAATTAGTGTTATAGCCCGGCGTTATTGCTGCGAAATACAAAAGTGGGGCCGCAACCAGCATGCCGGTGGCGCAGATCAATGGGTCGCAGGACGGGTATAGGGGCCGCAGACGAGATGCGATCAGCGAGCCCAACGGCACGCCCGTCACGCCTGCCAACATCGCTACAATACCAAACTTGAACGATACGCTGCAATATGGGAGTATAGGGCTTAAAGTTTGGATGCGTGTGTGAAGCGATATTTTTTCATGCAGGCTGGCGTGATTGATGTCGAATTTTCTTACAATTAGTCTATTATATATATATATATATATATATATATATATATATATATAGGATGGTCCTTAATATGGATGTTTTCAAATTTCCTTTCCCGAAAAACAATTTTCTGAAAGTTTTAGCTTTTAATATTAACTTTAAGATATTACCCACTCCAACCAAAGTTTCTTGGTTCTTCTTCCTAAGTAAATACTTATTTTATGAAATATATCAAATTTTTGTTGTAAATTTTATATTATATTTATGATCAAAATAAGCAAATACAATGTTATTCTCAAAATTTTGATTCACTTGTCGCTAAGTTATAAAACAAATGGAATTTTACCCATGCTTAGAAACTTTAGTTGGATACTATAATTATATTATATATAATTATAAATATAGATATTAACACTAAAATTATAAATAAGAAAATTGCATTTAGAACCCAACAGGAAAAAAGAAATGCAGATCACAAATATATCAAAACATCCATTTAAAAACCACCACATATTAGGGTTCCTAATATATATACATACATACATATATATATATATATATATATATATATATATATATATATATATATATATATATATTTATAGATACATGTATATACTTAGCAGGCAATAAGTTAAGTCAAAAAATGCAGAATGATCACACATTCAAATGTCAAATTGCATATATAAAACGTTGATAATAATTCAGTTTTCTTTAGTTCAAAAAAAAAATATATATATATAATATATTATATATATAAACTTGTATATTAAGCAGTTTATTATATATATTTTAAAAACACATATTTATAATACAAAATGCACATGCTCGCTTCATACTAGAATACCAAATAATTACGAGAGTCAAATAAATTTATCTTAAACTACAGCAAGTTGTTGTGATTGAATTTGTTAAGAATTGTATTTTCAAAATTTTCATAAAAATATTGGCAATAATTCATTGATTTCTATAAATACCCTATCGCATCGCATTAAATTTTTTACTACTACCCGATACTTTTTTTTTATAATGATGTATTTAGAAGTTCATTTTCCAATATTAACTTTGTATTCTGGTATGTAAGTGGATTGTGCATTTGTATTGGTGAAGTCTGCAATACAAGTGCAGCAACTCTAATCACGAAGTAATATTTTGACAATAAATCCTCCCGAACTTTGATACATACTCATTGATAGTGACATCTCGATTTCCTGGCTGCAAAATCATCCCTGAATGAATAAATTTAGGTCCCCACCAGGCTAGGGCACCAGTAACAAAGGCCACACAAGTAAATCCAGCAGTGCTCAGCATGAAAGAACGACTGAGAAAAAAAATATTGATTATATGAGAATAATAAACTCAAAAAAAAAATATAATTTGTTGTGGAGTAATAGTATAAAGTATTAAATAGCTAGAACAATATTATTCAAACTTACTTTTTGAGTAATGACTTCAGATCATCTGTGTAAGATGTTGGTTCTAAATCCATACTTTGTTCGCTATGTCCTCGTACTGGGTCCTGAATAAATTTAATTAAAATTACAGCAACTAATCCCAAAGCAGGCGTTACTCGTAGAGCCCAGTGCCAAGATCCTCCTATATGAGCCATCGCTGATCCGGCAATATATCCCAATCCACTAAAATTATTAATGGCAAATATTTCATTTTATTTCAAAGCATCTTATACTTACTTAGTAATTTTGTTTATCACTTAATTTTTATTAACTCTGGTCTATAAAAATATTTTAAACAAAATTTGTGAATATATTCCACAAGTTGTAAGAGAAAGTTTCTTTGAAAAGTTTTCTCTTGATTTTTTCAGCAAAAAATGCGTTTTTGCAAAAGAATTTTGCAACAAAGTTATAAATTGCTTACCTTCCTACTGGAATTGCAAAATAAAATAATGCCAACATTTTAGATCTGATGTCTTTGGCAAAAAGATCACTGATTATTGTAGGAGCTATCGTACTGTATGAAGCCTCTCCGACTCCTACTAGTGCACGGAATGTAATGAAGAAACCAAAATTCTGAAAAAAAAGAAAATCAGAGTAACTCAATCCAAAACCATCCAAACCTTTCACAAAAAACTGGCGTGCCCATAAAATCATTTTACGATGCTTGTTCTCCTGCTTATTTTGTTAGGTTCGATGATTTAATAATTGAATCATTGCAATAACGTTTTTTTTTTCAAAATACAATACTATTAGAATTTTATCGTTAATATTTTAATGCATTGATTGTTCCTTTAAATAAAATACTTACATTCATAAAGAACCTAAAAGCGTCGTGAGACTCCATAGGAATACTCCGGAAGCCATAATAATCTTCCTATTGTATCGGTCTCCCAAGTATCCAAACAATGGAGCAAAGACCATATAAGATATCACAAATACTGTCTGAAAGTTAAAACATGATAAATTAATGAATAATAATATTTTTTTTAAATACAAATATGAGTACTTGAAAAAAATTAAGACAAAATATATAAATAGATTAACAGAATTCAGAATTGACTCTCCACAGTTACATAGAAATCTGCAGGGATCCTGAGAGAAGTTCAGTTATGGTAAAATTTGTAAAACTTTGTATTCAAAATCAAGATTTCTTCCGTACACCAGCTTTTAAAAAGTAATTTAAGATATTTTAATCATTGTTTTATTTTAATGGTGATTGAAATTACATGATTAAAAAACTAACTTGTAATAATCCTCCTTGATCATCTCCTATTGAAAAGTAGGATTGTATATCGCCCAGTATACCTGAAATAGAAAAAAGAAATTTCAATCTCGTACGAATAATTAACATAATTGATGTATACATGCATATTGATTTAAAAAAAAAAACTCAACTCATAAATAATTGATCAAGTCGATGTAAATTGGAATATTGAAGACACTGTACTTAAGTCATAGTTATTTTTAGTAAAATGTAACACAATAGTTTTAATTAAAATAGGCTAAGATTTATAAGATAATTTATATAAAATTATTTGAATATGTTGAATTTACGTTGAAAAGGATAAAAGGCAAAACAAAAACAAAAACAAAAATAAAAACTTCTAAGTTTACTATTTCATTTATAGTTTACTATTTGACTTTTTTATACGCGGTGGAAAATCTGGAGGATATAATATAATATATATATATACTTATGCACATGAAATTTTTTCAATTATTAAAAATAATAACATCTATATGTAACAAAAAAGAAAAGTTGGCAGTTTTCAGAAAAAAAAATTACATCTCCGTATTTCTTAAAAAAAAGCATAATAATCAACAAGGTATAAGAAGGAAAAGAAAAAAATGCAAAAATACATAGTTCATATTGATACTTGGACTTACAGATTAAAATTTTTATTGCCGCTATGAGTCGATCAGGACATAGTTTGGCATAGCGCGTTTGCTATAAAATTATACGTTTAAAGTACGTGTACAATAATTAAAGAAACTATATTTTAAAACAAACGCTTAATTTGAAGCACAATACCACCATCTGCGATATGCTGAAAACACTTTCATACAGAGTAAAGAGCATTTTTTCTAGTGTAAGTTTACCCCCATGGACCAGACTATACAATTTTATTCATATGGATTGATGTATAAATATGATTAATTACAAATAAAAAAATATATTGATAAATATAAGACACGCTAAATATATGAATCATGAGTCATTTATTTTATTGTAATCGACAACTACAGGTATCATATATATTTAACATAAAACAAAGAGTAAAAATGTCGTTAAGATAAGGCAAGTATGATTAAATTACTAAAACTTGTTGATGATGAAAGAGCTTGAATAACAGTTTTCTTTGGAAGCTCATATATCATATTGAATGACAATATTCAATGACATTATATTCAGACATGTAATGATAAGAAACTAACGTACAGCGTAAGTTGATCTTTACTGTAAATGATTTAAATTTAAACAAATGAAATATGAAGAAAATCTACTTTGCCCCAACAAAAGCATAGTTCTTTCAAATCGTCAATTCATGCAAGTTCTTAAAACTACACTAAACTTTTATCTATATCGCTTTACGAAAATATACAACCGGTATCAGAATCATGTTTTTTATTCTGTCTAAAGAATCGACAACAATATATTACTAATTATAATATTAATCAACTTAGCTGTATTTGACAAATTCATACATTATCGTTATGCATTACTTTAAATTTTAAATAAGAAAATTTTCTTCAAGAGGGCAAACATCTTTCTAAAGTTAGATCATAAAATGTTCTTTGCTTAGTGTGATTTTTTTTAATTCGCCATATAATTTACAACTGTCTTCAGTGGACATCTAGTAAAT